CACTTTTAAGTTAGAATAGTTACAATAATAAATGTGTCGATAGGAAATGCAGGTGTCCCCAAAGGTGTGGCGCACACCACTCCAGCCCCAGAAGGGTTTCAGACGGAGAATTAGGCGAAGCTGGCTAAAGTGACAGCCAGGGACCCAAGCGCGGCCTGGGAGAGTGGCTCGGCTCTTAAGCGTGCCTGGGGCTCTTGCGGAGCCTCGGGGGTGTTCCCAGCACCCAGCAACCCCAGCTTCGGGAGATCCAGAACCCTCTTATAACCTCCAGGACATCTGTCTGTACTCACACAGAGACACACAAATATGCATAAGTAAAAATGAAGTCATATGAATTGTAGCTAAGAGCAAACTGATGTTATTTTCTTTAAAAATGCCTCAGAAAGAAAGCAAGTGAGAAGCAGAAAGGAAAAGGGAGAGAAGAAGCGGGGAGACAGAGGACCAGAGGATGGCCGAGTGCTGAGAGTTGCCTCAGTTTACCGCACACTTTACTTTCATGTTTTGAAATTTTCCAGAGAAAGAAAACGTCCATGAAAGGGTTAAACTGCGCCATCGGTTCTCGGGCTTGCAGGCTTATGTTCAGCATCCTAAAGCTTCTACTGCCTTTCAGAGACCAAACACACGGACCACACACGAGGGCTCATCCTGAGAGCTCTTACACAGGAACAGCGAGGAGCTCCAGACCCAAAGAAGAAGGCTTAGACTTGGCCAGCGCCCTTCTGCAGAGCGACGGGGGTCGGAGGAAGCTGAGCAGGTCAGAGTGAGTTTCACACAGACCAGACCTCAGGAGTTCTGAACCGGGGGCCCACCAATGGCACCTCAGGAAGTCACGCAGGCAGCCAAGTCTGCCTGTGATTACGCTGATCTTGGTAACCCTCAAACGGAAGTGAGCAACACAACTGCCAGATTCTGAGCGGAAATGCCTCAACACGGTAAGACGTAACCAGTACCTGTCTGTGCCTGCTAATCCAGATTAAAGACAAACGGCCACAGGTGCTACATTTCCCCCAGTGCTTGGCTGCCCCCTGGTGGCTTCTGAGATTGATACAGCCAACTACTTACAAAAGTATCTTAAAGTGCATGAAAGAAAAAAATACAAATATAGAATACAGCCAGGTGTGGTGTACACACCTTTAATCCCAGCACTTGGGAGGCAGAGGCAGGTGGATCTTTGTGAATTCAAGGCCAGCCTGGTCTACAGAGCGAGTTCCAGGACACCCAGGGCTGTTTCACAGAGAAACCCTGTCTGGAGAAAAAAAAAAAAAAAAAAAAAAAAAACACCACACACACACACCACTACCGAAAAGATGTACCTACAGCTATTTCAACACACTGTGTAAATTCCCCATTTTCAACAAAATCTAGTTCACTATATGTGTGTTGACTTCAAAATTGTCCACCCAGCAGTTAAACATACACTGTTTCTTCCTGTGGAATCCAGGGCTGTAGCCTGACAGCAAAGTCTGTCTCTCCCTAGGGATGGCTGATTAGCAGAACACAGATTCTCATCTTGTGGCGCCACACCAGGTCAGGGCCCCTGAGCTTAGTAACCAGCTGGCGGCCGGCACCTGATGTTTCCAGGCTGTGGCGTTGTCTCTGACAGCTGGGGACAGCTGTGTCCCAGTGGCCAGGCACGGGAAGAGTGCTTCCTTACCTGATAATACATTTGGAATGAATATGGTACTTTCAATTTCTGCCAAATATAATATCCTATTAAAGCTGTGAGATCTGGGGGCTGGGGAGATGGCTCAGTCAGGGTGTGGACCTGAGTTCAGACCCTAGTATTAAGGGTATGAAGGCAGGCGTGGGTATGCATCCCCAAGATCATGGCCAGCCAGTCCAGACCGCCAGTGAGACCCCTGTCTGCAGGGACAGGTGGAGGCATGACAGCGGCAGACACCTGACATCAGCCTCTGGCCTTTGTGTGCACGTGTGCACCTAGATGTACACGGACAGACACACACACTACACACAAAAATGAAAGAACTCATGGGTGAGGTTGTGAAGTAGGAAGTGGGAAAGAAACAAGAGGGTGTTGTCCACGCCCCTGCATCTCAGCCAATAAAACACGAGCAGGCAACGGGGACAGGGGACTGCAAGGGACAGAGACAGAACCTCACGGAAGTGGCCTGAGACAGCCTGGCCACAGCGTGACCCAGGAAATGATGGCCACAGGCTCTCCATGGACAACAGCAAGAACAAGCACCGGGAGGACCAGCCATAGGTGTGGAGGAAAGAGAGAGGCGATCCCGTCGCTAGGGTGACTCCATGGGACTCCTTCAGTGGGGACCATCTGTCAGCCACAGACATGGTGAGTCCTTGGCACAAGACTCCATGGGAATAGAGGAAGCTTCTCAGCTTTGGGGCTGACCTCTGCCCGACTTCCCCCAGTCATGCCATGAGGCAGCCCTCGTCTTCAGATTCCTTCTCTGACATCTCCAAGGGAACGGGGATGCAAGGGAGACCTGGCTCTGGCTGAAGAGGTGAGTGTCCCCACCCTCCCTCATGGCTCTATGTGTGTCCCTGCTGAAGCCATGTGCTCGTCAAGGAGAACAACCTTCTCCATAGAAGAAGACCGGGATTTGGGTGAGCATGTGAACAGCTGAGTTCCCTGATGGAACCCTAAAACAAGATCTCCAGGGAAGCCGGCCCTGTGGACAAGAGCAGCCACAGCCCTGGGCACCTCTCAATACCCCCAGACGGTCACTTCGTGGTATGTCCCACTCACGTCCACGACGAGCGCCGTCCACGACTTTCGCTCCAGCCCAGAGCTGCAGTTCGTTATTGATAGCGCTGCTGGTGCCTCATGGCGAGAGCAAGCCACGCTCCGCCCACCCTATTAGACGCGGGGTGGGAAGGTAGCACACAGATACGCATCCCTCCACACGTCACACAGCACTGAGTGTGTGTGATAACACATATGGCTCTGGGAGACACAGCGGGTTTTCCGGAATTACCACGCCCATTCACATTCCCACCAGCAGCCTGGGAAAGTCACTGCTCCCCGTGCCTTCCAACATCTATGCGGAGTTTGGAGTTTTGACAGGGGGACTACATGACATGTCGTTCTGGCTTCCGTTTGCAGGTCTACAATGATTCCGCATTGCAAATATTAAACACAGAATTCATACTGCTAGCTTCTGCTGCTTTCAGATGCTATCACGGTGATTAGCAAATCTGTCAAGGGCATCAGAGTAATAGAGAAACTGTATGTCAGGCTGAGTGATGGCTAGTCTGGTCAACTTAACGGGAGCTGAGAGCAGCTGGGACAAGCCCCGGGCAGACCCGGAAGGGCTTTCTCAGTCAGGTCACCCGTAGGAAGGCACACACACCTTCTTGGAGGCCCTCAGAAAAGCACTGCGTTCTGTCTGCCCGCTCCACCTCTTGCCGGTTCGTCTACCCTGTCACAGCTGTCACATCCTGAGCTGGCATCAGACTCCAGTTTCTTCGGCCTTCCAAAAAGGGCTGAAGACGGGTGTCTCTCCAGGAATCCTCCAGGTCTTCAGCACCAGACGAGGACTGCTGGGGCCTCCAGCCTTGTGCATAAGAAGCTGTCAGGCTCTTAGCTTCTCCAGAGTCGGATACGTACGAGTCAGTCCAGCACCCTCCTCTCGGCTCTTACTCAGTCCGCCCATCCTGGACACCCAGTTTCCCCAATGATATGATGTAGTTCACCAACGTCCCCACCCTCTCACTGAACCTTCTCCAGCACTCTAGCGACACCCAGGATTTCATGGTTCATGAGCCCCCTAGGATCCCTTCTCTCATTTGGAATCCAATCCTGAGCCCCAGACAAACTCCGCAACAAGTCTCCACAGTGTGGCCCTGGACAGCTCAGTGGCTGTGCTGTCCGCCAGTCCCCACAGACAGTTTTACCTAAGCTCACATCCTGGCTCTTGAGCTTCTCCACTGCTGGCTCCTCACAGGAGCTGCTCAACCTGTGGGGCCCACTCATTCCTTCACAGCCCTCCACCTCTCGCTGGGTGACCCATTCCTGCAGGAAGTCCTCCCACCGGGTAACCCATCCTTTCAGGAAGTCCTCCTGACTGAATAATCCCCCTGCAGCTTCAACACCACATCCCGGTTTCTGCCCTACAAATGTTCCACCAACCCCAAGTTCCAGTCTTTAGCCTTGAAGACCATGGTGATGTTTGGCTACTTGACTCTTGAGGATAAAGATCACTGCCAACCAGCAGGAGAGACAGGAGTCGTCAGCTCTTCTGAGCTGGTGTAGAGACACAGCGGCAATGCTCTCCACACAGGTCTGGAGTCGCTGGGTGACGACGGAAGACGCTTTTCTTTATTCCCCTTCAGTTGTTTGAGCCAAGGTCTCACTATGTACTAGGATTAAAATGTGCACCACCACACCCGCCAAAACCCTTTCTAATACCAGCGCTCAGTGTGGGCCCTGGGGGATCCCCAGCCCAACCCTGGATCCAAATGTCCTCAGTACATAAGGGACCCTCAAACCCTGGGCTCACCTGCCAGAGAGCAGCTATCCTGGGACAAGGGGAAATATTAAATTGAGGATGAAAACCCAGAAGAAACTGGCTTAAATGTGAGTGTGCTCTTAACCATCCCGCAGCCTCTGCGTCCAACCAGAGGCCAAGTTCTCCATGAGGCTGAACTGTGGGTTAGAGCCCAGGGCTGGGAGGACCCCAAGGTCTGTGTCTTACAACAACCACAATGCCTCAGATTAAAATTAAACGAAGGCCAATGAAAGCTGTGTGCCACAAAACCAAAAGCCATCTTCTCTGCCACACTCAACATGTCAGTAAAGAAAGACGTCACCTTGGGGCTGGAGAGATGGCTCAGAGGTAAGAGCATTGCCTGCTCTACCAAAGGTCCTGAGTTCAATTCCCAGCAACCACATGGTGGCTCACAACCATCTGTAATGGGGTCTGGTGCCCTCTTCTGGTCTGCAGGCATAGACACAGACAGAATATTGTATACATAATAAATAAATAAATATTAAAAAAAAAAAAAAAGAAAGACGTCACCTCGATAACTGGCACATTTTCCTCAAGTTCTGTGGTGTGCAAGGCCAGCAAGCCAATCACGCGAGCAACCTTGGACCGTCTGGAGAGAGAGAGAAAACACAGGCTCTGAAGTGCAGTCAGGCATCAACCACCACTGCTAGCCACCATGTACATACGATGAGCTGACTTAGCTGTATGACGGGGAAGTGGGGCTGACAAGAGGGCTCAGTGGGTACTGGAGCTTGCCACCAAGTCTGATGACCTGAGCTCAATCCTGGACCCCACATGGTAGGAAGAGAGAACCAGCTCCTGAAGGCTGACCTCTGACCCCCATGCACGCACTGGAGCAAGCACACAGCCACTCAGATGCAGGTATTGAGACAGCGCAGGCCCACATTGCAGGGAAACTCACACACACACAAGGAGCGTGAGTGGCAGTGTCAAAGTTTAGACAGTTTGTGGCTTATAAAACGCAGAAATGGAAAACTTTACAATTAGACCGTTATGAGCACTTTCTGTTTTGCTTAATTTTCCCCTTTATTTTTACTTTATAAGTATTTGTGTTTTTGCCTGTATGTAGTACGTATGTGTACCATGTGCATGCAGTGCCCATGGAGGCCAGAAGGGGGCCCTGATCCCCTGGGACTGGAGCTGCAGATGGTTTGACTCCCTAGTCCTCTGTGAGAGCTGCAGGCTCCTAACCATGGCACCACCCTCTGGCCTCTTTTCTTCTATTGTCATAAACACTGGTTTCAAGGAGGTGGCTTCTGCTCTCCCACAGAAAAGGACATTGATAAAATACTATGCAGTGGGATTTGAAAACAGTAATATAGAAAAGTCATGTTGATTAGAAAAAATTCACTGGAGGAAAAAGCAAGGACGTGGAGGGGACTTATTGGGGAAGGGGGTGCAGTGGAAAGCAGGGGTACGAGAAAGGGTAATGGCCGAGATGCCACCAAAGAGCACCGCATATGTGTGAAACTGTGAGGTGAACAAATTTCAAACCTTTGTCCCGTGGGAACTGACATGGTGAGGAGCTAAGTCCCCCTCATCGTCTCCTGGCTTCTTAGGGAAGGCTTTGCTGGACTCACTCAAGGGAACAAGTCAGACTCAGACATGTGGCCAGGGCAGCCTGTGTCCACCTCCCAGAGCAGAGCCAGCCCTGACACGGGACAGCCTGTGTCCACCTCCCAGAGCAGAGCCAGCCCTGACACGGGACAGCCTGTGTCCACCTCCCAGAGCAGAGCCGGCCCTGACACGGGACAGCGTGTGTCCACCTCCCACAGCAGAGCCGGCCCTGACAGGCCTCAACTCTTGCTGGTTCTCTGAGATGAGAGCTCATCACATGGCTCCCAGGATGTCACTGAACCCCTGATTCTCCTGCCTCAGCTTCCTGAGGACAGCAGATGAGCGCTGCCATGCCTGGCTACTTCTGAGTGTCTTATACATCAAATGCCAAAAGCTTTAAACCACAATCAAGTAAGTCCCATAGATGAAAACGTACAAGAAATCCCCTCTCCTTGATGAGAGCCGACTAGACACAGAACCCTCAGGAGTCTGCAGAGATGAAAGACAGATTCATTTACCTGTGATAACCGTAAACCCAAAGGTTGGAGGTGGAATAGAAACCTACTGACCCAGAGAGGTGAAAAATCCAGACGTAGTGGTGTGCATACCTGTACCCCAGAACTATGGGGGGCAGAGGCAGGAGGATAGGAAACAGTCTCAGATTGTCAATAACATTAAAAACACATGTGTTGCCCATCAAAATTCTTCAAAGACCTCGAAAGAATGGTACTCAACTTCATTTGGAAAAGCAAAAAACCCAGGATAGCCAAAACAATCCTGGGCAATAAAAGAACTTCTGGAGGCATCACAATCCCTGACTTCCAACTCTACTACAGAGCTACAGTACTGAAAACAGCCTGGTACTGGCATAAGAACAGACAGGAGGACCAATGGAACCTAATAGAAGATCCGGATATCAATCCACACATCTTCGAACACCTGATCTTTGATAAAAAAGAAAAAATATCAAGTGGAAAAAACAAAGCATATTTAACAAGTGGTGCTGGCATAACTGGATATCAACATGTAGAAGAATGAAAATAGACCCATATCTCTCACCATGCACAAAACTCAAATCCAAATGGATCAAAGACCTCAACATAAAGCCAGCCACACTGAACCTCATAGAAGAGAAAGTGGGAAGTACACTTGAACACATTGGCACAGGGAACCACTTCCTAAATATAACCCCAGTATCACAGACACTGAGAAAAACAATAAATGGGGCCTCCTGAAACTGAAAAGCTTCTGTAAAGCAAAGGACATGGTCAACAAGACAAAACGACAGCCTACAGAATGGGAAAAGATCTTCACCAACCCCACATTAGATAGAGGTCTGATCTCCAAAATATACAAAGAACTCAAGAAATTGGACACCAAAAGATCACATAATCCAATAAAAAAAAATGGAGTACAGACCTAAAGAGAGAACTCTCAACAGAGGAATCTAAAATGGCTGAAAGACACTTAAGGAAATGTTCAACATCCTTAGTCATCAGAGAAATGCAAATCAAAACAACTCTGAGATTACATCTTACACCTGTAAGAATGGCCAAGATCAAAAACACTGTTGGCAACTTATGCTGGAGAAGTTGTGGGGAAAAGGGAACACTCCTGCATTGCTGGTGGGAATGCAAGCTGGTACATCCCCTTTGGATATCAGTATGGCGTTTTCTCAGAAAATTAGGAAACAACCTTCCTCAAGACCCAGCAATACCACTTTTGGGTATATATCCAAAGGATGCTCAATCGTGCCACAAGGACATGTGCTCAGCTATGTCCATAACAGCTTTGTTTGTCATAGCCAGAACCTGGAAACAACCTAAATGCCCCTTGACTGAAGAGTAGATAAGGAAAATGTGGTACATTTACACAATGGAGTACTACACAGCAGAAAAAATAACGACAGCTTGAAATTTGCAGGAAAATGGATGAAACTAGAAAACATTATTTTGAGTGAGGTAACCCAGACACAGAAAGACAATGTACTCACTCATAGGTGGTTTTTAAACATAAAGCAAAGAAAGCCAACCTACAAACCACAATCCCAGAGAACTTAGACAACAATGCAGATACTAAGAGAGAGATTTGCATAGATATAATCTACATGGGAAGTAGAAAGTATAAGACAAGATCTCCTAAGTAAATTGGGAGCACGGGGACCTTGGGGAAGGACTGAAGGGGGGAGGGAGAGACAGGGAGGGGAACAGAAAAAATGTAGAGCTCAATAAATATCAATAAAAATTAAAAACATTAAAAAACACGTGCGTTTTGGGGAGGACAGACACAAAGTCACAACAGCCTTGCTAGGTTTGTGTTCCTCCATGCAGGACAAACTTGAAAAGCCGAAAGCAGCACGAGAGAGTACAAGAAGACCCAGCGGGGGAGGGCTGCCCGCTGTCCACCCTCAGCTTCATCCAATCAAAGCTCCCATGGCTGGGCAAAGTGGTGCACACCTCTAACCCCAGCACTCAGGAAGACATACGCTAGGAGTTCAAGGCCAGCCTGTGATACATATTAAGACCCTTTCTCAAAAAATAAAAAATAACAATTAAAACAGACTTTTTTTAGCAAATGAAATTCAATTTAAATAGTAAAAAAAAAGGGTTTTAAAACAATGCTTGAAAAGAATTTAACCACTTTCAAGTCAGCAGGGGGCGCTCCAGACTGAAAAATGATATCCGCCTAACAGCAGCTGTTTCCATGGCTGCAGGACGCTCTGCTGTTACCCAGCATCCCAGTTCCAAGGAGAACAGCGGCTGGGATACAAGAAAATCACAACACTGCCAGTGTGCACCAGACTCAGAAGCAGCAGCTCCGTCTTCTGGCCTCACTCACTTGGCCAAAGATGTACTGAATGGGTAATCCAACCCCCTCAGCGAAACTCAGCAGGGGCAGATCTGGGGTCCCCACCACACACTTCTGTACCCCACATAAACTCAGAACAGCCCATCATGTGATCATGTCCCACCAGCAGGAGAGCCAGAGCCTGGAGCATCCATAGAGAGAGAGCACTCTGTAGGAGTCCCCTTGGTTTCCTGCCCGGGAAGGAAAGGGAGTGCCAGAGGCAGCACAGCCCAAAAGGCAGGGCCAGGAAAGGGATGGCCTAACATACAGTGTCCCACTCCGGGTTGAGACAACAAAGCAGCAGCCACCTCCACACCTCTCCTCGCTCATTGCCTCAAATTCCCTTAGGACGACCAGACTGTGCTCACGAGGAGCAACTATAAAACCCCCAAGAATAGGTTTTAAAATACAAATGTTACTTACATATCCCAGTTTGGAGCTATTCGCAAATGCTGGATTAGCAACTGGAACTAGAATTAGAAAAAGAGAAACATCGAAATGTAAGTATTATTCAGCAGGGAATCCAAAGCAGTATCTGAATTAACAGGGAAATCTATACAGCTGAGATGGGAACACCCCGGGGAGGCAATTACAGACACGCAAACGCAGCCAGTGTGCCAGCAAGAAACATAAACAAACGCTAAGACCAGGGCACCGGAGACAGGGCTCAGCGGTTGCTTGAAAAGTACGTTCTCTTGCAAAGAACCCATGTTCAATTCCTAGTGTCCACACAGTGGCTCCAGGAGACCTGTCCTATTACTAATACCACTAACATTTGGCTTTCCGCCCCCAACAGACACCCCAACCCTCATACTGACTTAGGAGCAAAATAAGCTGAAACTCTTCAGGCCGGCCTTGGGGACACAAAAGAAAGTGCCACAGGACCACTGTCATTCCTTCCAGAAGGCGGCCTGAGGAACTGTGCAAACCCCAGGGTTAGGGATAAAGCCCTAAGGGGTACCCTCTCAGGAGAGCAGAGAGTGAGGACTCTGAGGCCTGACATCCTTCTATCCATCCGGAAGCCCTGGCGTCTCTCCAGGGGACCCAGACCAGGAGCCCAGACCACGCGCAAGACCGACTGGCTACAGAATGAATCCAAGGCAAGCCCAGGACACTTAGACCATAGCTCAGAAGAGAAGTTGGGACCGTGTGTGGTTCAGGGGTGGAACACTCGCCTAGCCTAAGGCCCTGGGTTTGATCCTCAGTACTACCACAGAAATAAATGAACTGCTTCAGTCCGAGGTTTATTGCTTTTATTGACCCATGCTGTGATCAGGCTAAGGAACTGCCCTACTACTAAACCCCAGGCACCAAGCTTTTGCACTAGCACCCCTGAAACACAAAGGCCAACAGCTCAACAGCAGTTGGTCCCTGGGAGGCGTCCCCCTGAAGTGCCTACCAGCGGTGAGTGGAGCAGCCTGGTGGCCACCTCCTTGTGAGCAGCCACCACACACAGATAGCACAGGAAGTTCAGCTTGGCTCGCGCCGCCCCTGCGCTCTTCTCGCTGGAGTCAATCTGGGAACAGGCCTGCTGCAGGAAGACGGTCCAGTCCTGGTCCTTCAGGAGCAGCAACTTATCCACTGCAGAACGTCAGAGCACATGAGGACAGACACTCCACTTGACGGCCCTTCCCCACCCAGAGAGACTTCTTAACTATGTCAGTGAACTGCCAAACTAACAATTGGGAGGCAGAGGAAGAAGATCTCTGGAGTTCGTGGCCAGCCTGGAAGAGTTAGTTCCAGGACAGGCTCCAAAACTATAGAGAAACCCTGTCTTGAAAAACCAAAAAAAAAAAAAAAAAAAAAAAAAAAGTGACAGCAATAATAACAATAACAATGTCTTAGGTGTGAGGGCGCTGGGGAGAAGCTGCCTCGCAAGCCGAGGCCACGGGTAATGATGCCAGAATCCACATAAAAAAACAGCAAGTGAAGACAGGAGGCTCCCTGGGGCCCACTGGCCGGCATGTCTCAGGATGACACTGGAGGCCATCCTTGGGCAGCCGCACCGTACTTGTGCATATGTAACCACACACACAGTATGTCCACACACATCTGCACACATTTTTAGAAGCCTAATAGAATTACTGTTAAATATACACATACCCAGGTCAGTAGGGTGGCGGGCACAACCTGGCAATCCAGTCTCTAGCTTCCCACACAAACCAAAGAAAACTACAGGATTAGCGTCTAACTTTGGCTGCGCTTCATCTGTAGACAGATGAGGGAGAGACAGCTCAGAGATTAAGAGCACTGGCTGCTTCTCCAGAGGTCCTGAGTTCAACTCCCAGCAGCTACGTGGTGGCTCACAACCATCTAAAGTGAGTCCTGGGGCCCTCTTCTGGCCTGCAGACAGACCCTGTATACATAATAAATAAATCTTTTTTAAAATTACAAATGTTCTCTAGCTCTCAGGAGGACTGAGTGCCTCCCCGGGTTTTGCTGGCCACACTATAATTCTGCTGCACGTTGGTCCTTCAAAACAGCCCTCCGTGGGGCTCTCTCTTGGTTGGCATCCATGGACCAGCCTGACCTGTACAAACTTTTAAGTTAACACCATTCCAAGTGGGTGTGGTAAGCCACGCCCCATAGGGGTCAGCCACGCCCCACCGGGGGTCAGCCATGCCCCCATGGGGGCAGTCACATCACAACAGGGGTCAGCCACCATCCCCCACTGGGTGTGGTGAGTCATGCCTCCCATAGGGGCAGCCACGCACCCATAGGGACAGCAACGCTGCCCACAAGTGTCCCCCACCCAGTCTGGCTCTCTACTGTCCTGATCCCTCAAACACAGTTCCCAGCTTGACTGCTGACGCTCACACAGCACCATGCAAGACAGACATCTCACTGGCAGAAGAAGCCTCTCTACTCTCAGGAAAATGGGCCCAGCGCCCCAGGAGCCTCCCACCACAAGCGGGCACTGGCCCAGAGGAAAGTCAACAGCTGGCAAAGAGACATTTGCGGCTGACTCCTGCTGTGCAGGATGCACCCAGAGCCTTGACAAGATTGACAAGACGACGGCCAATCAGATCTTCTCCACACGCACCCACGCGCACATTCCGTTTGACGTATGTAAAGTTCCCTCACGAAGTCTGCTTACGAAGGTCAACGTTTTGAGAGCCTGAGGACCTTACCAGAATAAGCCGGTAGGTGCAAGATTTTTGGATCAAACTTGATTGCAGGTTGTTTCGTTATCTATGAAAATAACGGGAAACGCTGTTGAGAAGCCTTTTAACCCAACAGTTGTCTCTGCAGCTACAGTCAACACGGCCAAAAAGGAAGGAGAGGAAACTCAGCTGGCATCAAAAGGATCCAGGCCAGGTGTGGGGCACCCAGTGCGGCCAGCCTGGGGAGGCAGAGGCAGGAGGGCTAAGATTTGCCTGGGCTGCAGAGAGAGACCCCATCTCAAAGCACTAGCAACAGAAAAGAATTCAACAGTGCCACATGGGACTAAAAGATGTAAATACAGATGGCTTCTTTCCATGTCAACTAACTTCTTCAGTAAGACAGAGTCCCGCAGAGGGCTCAACTGGCTAATCCGCTCTCTCTAGAAATGAAGGCATCTGAAGAGCATCTGCAGGGACCTGTCCTGAGGAGGGGCAAAGCCATTAAACACGTGACCCTGCTGTCAGCTGAAATTCTAAATGAGAAAATAAGGCAAATGTCTGTTGAACAATAAAATCCTTAATACTTAAGAATTCAAAACAAACAGGACAAAAATTATAGACAGATAGTTCATAGAAAGAAATTTCTTAAAAACAATAAAGAAACAAGTAGTTAGGCTGATGTAACATGAACAGGGTTAGTGGGAGGGGTGGAAATCGGACTGAGGTCTAGATGTGGCGTGGACAGGGTCAGGGGGAGCAGTGGAAGGTGGGCTGAGGTCTGGATGTGGCGTGGACAGGGACAGTGGGAACAGTCGAAGGTGGGCTGAGGTCTGGATGTGGCGTGGACAGGGTCGGGGGGAGCAGTGGAAGGTGGGCTGAGGTCTGGATGTGGCGTGGATAGGGTCGGGGGAGGGGTGGAAATCAGACTGAGGAGTGAACCACAGTCAGGACTTGGCTGTATCTGAGGAGGGAAGAGCCATTCCGGAAGATCTTAACGCACAATAGTTTATCACACGCTCCGTTTGAGAAATGGTGTGGTGAAGAAACCCAAGGCCCTGAGCCTTGGGAGTTGCCCAAGTCTAACTTCTGCAGAACTCCGCGTTGCCGTCTCAAGCCCTCAGGGACAGACAACACTCTTGACAAATGATAGAGTGAGAGTCCACAGATACATTTTAACTCAAACCACTCCACAAACACCAGACCATCACTCAGCAACATGTTACAATCATGAAAACCTAAATGTCACCAGCCGTAACAGACAGGGACGGACTCTAGGAGACCAGGAGGCTCAAGTGTGACAAAGGACATCAGAGACAGCAGATTAGTGGGAGTCTGGCAAACCGAGGGCCTCAGGTGACTCAGGCCAGGCAGAATAACGGCAAGCAAGGCCTCCTTGAACCCTGAATCCTCTCCCTGATTCTAAACCTTGTTTTTAAAATATAGCTTAAAATGTTTTAGACAAAAATAGTTTAAGGTTGAACAGTGGTGGTGCACGCCTTTAATCCCAGCACTCTGGAGGCAGAGGTGGGTGGATCTCTGAGTTTGAGGTCAGCCTGGTCTACAGAGCTAGTTGCAGGACAGCCAGGACTGTTACATAGAGAAACCCTGTCTGTGGGGGCGGGGGAGTGTTAAAAACCTAATTCCTGCTTGCTGATGTTTCCCAGAAACCTTAAGGAAAAAGTAAAGAAACTCAGGCCATGGGATCCCAGGCTGCTCTAGAACACATTACCCATCATGCCTAGCAGAATCCAGTCTCTCTGGGAGACCACCCATTACCCATCATGCCTAGCAGAATCTGGGCTCTCTGGCAGACTCTGAGTCATGGAAAGAGTCCATTCTGGGAGCTGGTCATATAAGACAAAGGCCGGGTGTCCACATGTTCCACATGAGAGCAGGGGAAATCGCCACAAATTAATGTGGAAAGACATTTTTAAACAAAAAAAAAAAAGCTGGAAGAATAAAACAGAGCGGGGTGAGGGTAGAGGATGAGGGACGGGGCTGGAACCCTGTCACCCTCAACAACACACTGTGGACACAGGAGCAGGGTGCACACCAGGAGCTGGGACCCTAGGGCCACACTGTCTCTTCCAGCAGTCTAGACACCACGCTAAAGACCAGACCTGTGTGGCCTGCCCGCCCTTCCCAGCCAGCGAGCCCTGCTCAGCAGCCAGTGAGCCCTGCTCAGCCACACCCTGGCGACCTGAGCATCCAGTGGGGCTCACTTTGTAAACAAAGCTGGACTGAGAGCTGCAGGCTGGGGTCCAGGGGTCAGTGGCCCTCCTCGGCATGTGACAGGTATTACCAGCAGAGCGGGAGCAAGTGAAGGCAGAGCAGAGAGCCACCGCGTGTACATGGGGCACACGGGACAAGCAGACAAGGGATATGCAAGTGAAGAGACAGCAGAGGGATGCAGACTGTCGCCATGGTGAGGTGGAGAACGCTCTGACCTCCCCCCCACACCCTGCCCCCAAGTTTACACCCTCTCTGCACACCTTAGGGTTGTCGATAATTGGAGTGGTCACAAGATCCGAGTCCGTGTAAATCAGCTGCCTCATCTGGAACTCCAGGGCCCCCTGGCTCAGATGCCCACGGGTCACCTGGAACAAGGGAAAGTCACACCCTGCATTAACAATGGAGATTGACGGGCCAGACGCAGAGAAGGACGCCTGTGTCAAAGGACTTCAAGTGACATGGAGACAACATCAGCCTGGCTTTTTGTCACACAAATCCTGAACTCTGTGTGTTGTTCTCATTCTATACATGAAAAAGTCGGAAATCAACTGGTCAGTCACACCAACAGTTCTCACCACTGACTGGTGAGTCACACCAACAGTTCTCACCACTGACTGGTGAGTCACACCAACGGTTCTCACCACTGACTGGTCAGTCACACCAATGGTTCTCACCACTGACTGGTGAGTCACACCAGAAGTTCTCACCACTGACCAGTCAGAACTGCACAGCAAACCTCCTGAACTGTGAGGTGAAGGAAACTTCACACTCTGTCTGGGGTTTGGCTTAGTTTGTTTCTTTTTATTGGTTCTGCCCATCCTTTATCCACAAAACACACAGCTACTTCTGTCCTACTGAATATTCATGAAATTAAATTATAGTGACTTAAAAGTTCTGGCTAAAATTCTACCTTGCTCCTAAAGAATTAAACACCAATATGTATATATCTTGCATTGTGTCTGTGGGGGCATGCATGCACAGGCACATACGGGCACACGCTGCACGCACACACATGTGCACACACACGTACAAACAATAATAAAGCAATTAATGACTACATGCTCTGTGATATATGATATTCACATGACGTGTCCAGAGCAGGCAGACTTGGGACGACCTGTGGAGCAGGAGTGGGTGAAGCGGAGGAGACAGAGGCTGACAGCAAACAGCTACGGGGCTTCTCTGTAGGACGGCAGTAAAGTTCTCAAATGGAGTGTAGTAAGGCTCACGCAATCTGTGACTCCAGGAAAAGTCTATCAAACGCCCACTCTAAACGGGTGAACTGCATTCCATGTCAATTATACCTCAAAATAAACACTGCTGAAAACAGCCCTGAAGCAACTACCAGGGGCTTGGCCATGGTCAATGTCATCATCACGGCAGGGTTCACGCAGCAACTTATAATTATGTTTATGAGCTTCTGTAATGGTCCATAAATCCCAGGGCTGCTCACCTTGGACAAAGGAGAGGTCTGTGGCGAGCTGGCAGCCTCACCCTCTCCAGGACTTAACTCCACCATGGCACTAGTCCTTGGAGTGGGCCGTGAGCTGGAAAACAGGACAGCTTCCCATCAGCGGGCTGCAGACGTGATTCCCTCCCCTCCCTCTCTCCTAGCGGGGCAATAGCATGAAGGTGGAGGATTCCATACCTCTCACACGGGCACTCGGCACATAGGAAGCGGGAGGCCTAATTTGTGTTTAATGACTCTATAATTTTTGTAGCTGCTTCTTTTGACAAGCGTTATTATATGTGGGCCACGTGCCACTCACTCGTGTGGAGGTCCCGGGACGATTCTGCATGGCTGGTTCTCTCACACAGCCGGCTGAGCACCCCACCAGCCCTCTCACTGCCCTGCAGGTAACTTTCTGGATCGCCAGATTTTCTAGATTGCATGTACATACGGTCTTTTCTCTTTACAATATTCGCTGCATGCTTAATGCTTCATCAGCATCTACTGATCATATTTAACAATGACATGTTTGTGCATGTGCACACACATGTCTCCCCTTCACGGTCAGGGTCCACTTACATAACCTCCTCAAACCCCGAGGATCACATCTCCTCCACCTACTGCTTACTAAGTCACTTAGTGAGTTTCTAACAGAAAACATGCCAGAGGTTGCACACGGCTCTAAAAGAGCAGATTTAAAGTACCTAAAATATAAATAAATTTAACGTACTTTACACTCAAATATGCACAAAACAAATAAATTTCAATATACTATTATAGCTTAAATAGAATAAAACTCCTCCTGCATAAGGCTCTTTTCCTTTTCTGACACTGAGGATTGAGCCTCAGACTTTGTGCATCCTAACCAAGTGCTCTGCCAGCAAGACAGAGACCTGTGCACCTAAAAATCTTAAATCCCTTGAATGCTAGTGTTTTTCATATGCTGGCCCCTAATCATGTAAAGGTAAATTGGGCTATTGTTGTTGTTAATTTTTTCAATGGTTATAAATATTGCTGTGCCTCACATAAAATATATTTCAAGAAAGACACAACACCCAGGCTGTGGTGTCACTCGCTGGGAGAGCGCTTGCTTAGCACGTGTGGTACCCAGCATGGATGGAAGGAGGGCAATGGGAAGAGAGGATAGGAGGAAAGGAAGGAGGACACAGGAGACTCAAAGAAGGAGAAATACAACCTTTCCTTCTTATAAAACCTTATCCAAATAAAAGGGCTGAACTTCTGAAATGTTAAATTCATTTTATCAGAAGACAAAGTTTTGAGAGAAAAGATTCTAATATTTACAAATACAAAAAGATAAGCAGCTTTTTAAAATTATGTGTATATGTGCATCTATGCACATGTGTGCAGTGCCCAGGAAGGCCAGAAGAGGGCATCTGATCCCCTGGAGCTGGAGTTACAGACGGTTGTAAGTCCTGGGAACTGAACTTGAATCCCCTAGAAGAGCACTCTTAACCAGTGATTCAGCTCTCCAGCCCTCAAATAAGCAATTTTTAAAATACATACAAAACCTAGATCCCACTGAGCAGTAGCTCACTGTGGTGGGAAGGTGGCAGTGGTACAAACAGGCCCTCTGTCTCTAACAGTCTGCCCATGAGACAGCACTTGAGTGTCTTCTCAAGGCTGGGTTTACATACCTGAGGAGGAATATGGATTCATTCAGCTGGCCCCCTGTGGTACTCTTGGGCCTCAGCTCAGTCGCGTTGTCTGTGACAGAAGGGACAGGCGTCACCATGAGCAGAGCATAACAGAGTCATGAAAAGAAACAGATGCAGAGGCTGGGGCTCCAGACGGCCACCGCCGCCAGCCGCTCGAACCAAGCCTTACCTAGCCGGAAAGACTGGCTGAGCCGATGAGCTCCCTCCTGCCCTTTTGCCTGTCCGTTCTGAGGGCTCTGCGAAAGCTCCCTGGAATCATGCGGCCCAGAACATTCTGTGACGTTTCTACTGTTTGACAGGAGAAATCAACACAAACTCACTTCGGACTCCCCGTGGTTTTGCAAATAGCATAGAAGAGGTTAGAGCATAACTGCATCGTGTGTGTGTGTGTGTGTCTGTCTGTCTGTCTGTCTGTCTCTCTGTCTGTCTGATCCTACGAAGTCACAGAACTGGGCAAGCACAGAGAGCCCTTTCCAGACGTAAGGCATCTAGACCTAGAGCCCTAAAAACCCTTTCTCAGACAACTAGTCAGCAGCGGACAGACACCAGGACCTGGAGCACCACAAAAACCAGCACTAGGTTTCCCTTCCTGCCTCTTGGTCTGGGGTCAAAGCCAACAAGCCATGCCTAACTGTGAGAGGAGCTGTTCTGTGGATGTCCCAAGGAATGAAGTGAGGGGTTGCTGAGGCCGAGGAGGGCAGAGAAACCCCCTCATTTGCTTAAGTTTCTTTTGTCCCTATTCATTCTGCTGCCGGGTGACCCGGGACCCACCACTCGGGACAGCAGTCACTACTGGCCCCTGCCTGGCGTCTGAAAGAGGAAGCCTTTGACAGACAGCAGGACTCGGGAACACTAGGCACTCCCCCACAAGCCACTTCTCCCTGCCCTTCCACCATTCCAAAGGCATCCAGTAAGACACACAAACTGTCCCACATCCCAAGGGCCAGAATATCAGGTTGGCTCCAAGTTTAAAGACCAGCTCCCCTAATCTCTCACAGCAACTGCAGGACAGGTGAGTACAACCACCTCATCCCACTTGGCATTCTTTCAGACTCAAAGATGGCGGCTCCACGAGCCCCAAACCAGTGTCGTCAAACCAAAGACTGAATGCTCAGCCCAAAACCCGAGGAAGGAAGCTGACTTCCCTGGCTGCCAACACGTGTGTGCCGCTGGAAGCCCTCACAAGGACAGTACAGCAGAAAAATAAACAAAAACGGCACACAGGGCCGAAGAGGGAGAAATGCCGTCCGCAGCAGCGAATGGGCACACTTGGTTTCTTCCTTATTTAGAACATAGAGGGGGCCACCAATGGAGGAGTCTTAAGTCAGTCACAGCCAACAGCCTTTGACGGCGTCTAAAGGGTTTGTGTGTGTGTGTGTTGTCCAGAATTTATACCCTAAAGTTGCAGGAGTGGGGGGAGACCGGGACAGCACAGCAGGGGTGTTCTCGCTCCCTCTCCCCCTTCCCGCCATATCCCTCCTCCTCTCCCCCCTGCTCTCTCTCTCTCTCTCTCTCTCTCTCTCTCTCTCTCTCTCTCTCTCTCACACACACACACACACACACACACACACACACTTTGGATATGAAGAAATAAAGGACAGAAGTGTCCTGACTTGTTGACACCACCAGGCAAGGCCCGGAGCCCAGCACCTGTTTCTCTAAGTCATGCCCACCCGGAAGGTGGAGCTGCAGCCCAGAGCAGAGGCCAGTGGGGTGCATGCAGTTGCAGCACACTGGGTCAGGCACTCACACTCCAGCTTCTCCACACAGCGTGCAAATGGGCAAGGGAGGGGGATGGACAGCATCAGGGAGCAAAGGGAGGGGTGGGGTGGGGTGGGGTAAGGGCAGGGGGTGGGGTCAGCCCTGAGAGGTTTTATGATAACAATGGCAGGCCTGGGCAGGCACACTAGATGGCTGTGGCCATGCGTGAACCACATCCTCACAGCTTTCAATCTCCTAACTTCAGGGTCACTTGAGTGCACAGCCATGAGGGCTGGCAGGGAAGTCAAGTTCATCGCAGAGCCTCTACCCTCAGGCTGACAAGTTCTGTCACTTCCCGTCCCCATCACAGGACCATAGGGGACAAACACTAGTGAGTCACACACTGGCTCTGCGGTTTCCACACAGCAGTAGCCACGCCGCCTCTACCCACACTTCATGACCACCTCACGGGACGGCACACTGTCATGACCACCTCACGGGTCGGCACACTGTCATGACCACCCTCACGGGTCGGCACACTGTCATGACCACCTCACGGGTCGGCACATTGTCATGACAACCTCACGGGTCGGCACACTATCATGCTCAGAAGGCAGGCACTGGGTGCACCAAGCAAACCAGACCGTGACTGCCACATTAGACCCCTGATTGGAGAAAAAAATAGCAGAGAAAATGAACAAAATGGGAGCTAAACCATCACGACTGAGCCTGTCCTGATGATGGTGCCATCGACCATCGGCAGAGTGGTGCCGAGGCAGGGCATACTACCTGAAGCTGCAGTCCTCGGAGGCCAAGTCGGCGTCCTCTCTCTGCAGGGTATCCTTCCAGAAGGCATGCTGCAGGACTCCCTCCCATGACAACCTTTAGGAAACAGGGGGCACAGTCGTTAGGGGATCCAGTCCTGATCCACAGTGTGGCCTCATATCCTCCCCTCACCAATGTCGCCTCTGGAGCTGCCTTATGTCACTCTTTAAATAGGAAATTAATCCACCTAATGGTCATAGAGCAAAACTGAGGATATGGGGTTTCCAGTTCAGAACTCTTAGAATCCACCAACCACTGTAGGAAGAGACTCTACCAGCAATTTGAAATTTTAAAGTCAATCACTAATTGTCAAATTACAGTTCTGTCCTCCGTTGTCTTACTACATGAGCAAGCTTGTTTTAGCTGGTTGTGTGGTTGGGATGTGAGCTATTCCCCTGGAATCCGTGTGCGCACCGTTCCCTGCTGCTGGTTGTTCAGGGGTGCTGGGGAGCCTTCGGGAGGAGGGGCCCGGCTGGGAGGAAGAGGGCCAAGGGGGCTGGTGGACAGGCCTAGACATTCCATACCCTGCTCCCATTCCTTGTCCACTCTCTGCTTCCTGGCGGGGGACACAATGTGACCAGCTGCCTCACGCTCTGGCTGCTCTCCCCGCGCCACCATGAAAGCCTCTGTCCCTTCCTCAACTGCGAGCCCAAATCAAGCTTTCTCCTTTACTTGCTTTTCCAGGCGTCTATCACTATGGCAGACAGCATCTCTATGGAGCTGAATCCCACTACTGTCTTGTGTGCACACACACTTCTGCACTGAAGGAAGCCGAGCCCACAACTGTCCAAGTGTGCATTGCATGGAAGGGAGCCGAGCCCACGACTGTCCAAGTGTGCACTGAGCCCACGACTGTCCAAGTGTGCACACTGCACTGGAGGGAGCCGAGCCCACGACTGTCCAAGTGTGCACTGCACCTGAGGGAGCTGAGCCCACAACTGGCCAAGTGTGCACTGAGCTCACGACTGTCCAAGTGTGCACACTGCACTGGAGGGAGCTGAGCCCACGACTGTCCAAGTGTGCACTGAGCCCACGACTGTCCAAGTGTGCACAATGCACTGGAGGGAGCTGAGCCCACGACTGTCCAAGTGTGCACACTGCACTGGAGGGAGCCGAGCCCACAACTGTCCAAGTGTGCACACTGCACCTGAGGGAGCTGAACCCATGACTGTCCACGTGTGCACACTGCACAGAGCTCAGTGGAAGGACGGCGAAGGGAAAGGGGAGCCTGGGGAGGACGCAGAGGAGCAGGAGGTGGAGGGAGAGAGAGGAGTGCAGGTTGTATTCATCTGTGATCACAGTGCAGGAGGCTGGGGAGAAACCAACCTGAGCCAGACATGGAAACCCTCATCTCAAAAAAAAAAAAAAAAGGAAGAAAGAGGGGGGAGCAGGGCGAAGCTCTGTTGATCCCCACGTAAAGGAGAGTGGGCCTCCACTTCCACTTCTCACCACACAGTGTGCCCGCACCTCTTCTGAGGATCCTTCTGTAGGAGTCCACTCAGCAGATTAACGAAATCTGAAGAAGCTTTGGGGAAGGACGAGTCTGTGAACAGATGATTTTTCCGAAATGAGAAGGCGGGGAGAGGGGCCCATGGAAACCCACCTTATGTACTGTCTGTCAGTAGCATCTAAAGCCTTCAGACTGTTTAACAGACGGCACCGAACCCACAAACCACGGGACCACCCGCAAGCCACAGAGGACCACAGTGCAGAGCAGACACAGATCTTTGACCGGGATCTGCGCTGGTTGGCTGGACCTGACTCTCGAAACACTCCTAACTCTGCCAGCTTTCCCTGTGTTCCCTGTGACTCTGACCCTGGAAACCCCTCCTTTCTCTGGAAAATTTTCAGCAGGGAAATAGCGATAATGGGCACAGCTATCCCCATTCTGAGGACCTCATGGGTGGGCACACACTGGCTGGGCACTCTTTCATCGGCCATCAATACACAAGGAATACAGGAACAGTAGCCACAGTCTGGGGACAAGTTCTGTGCCATGAGCCTCCAGCTGTTTGGAAGAACTTGTACTCACCAATAGGAGAACTGAGAAATGCCCCATTTTTTTCCTACTGAGAAGCAACCCTAAAATAATCACACAGGGCAGGAACATGCACATGTATGCATGCACACACACACATACTCACACATGCACAGGCACCTTTAAATCTTTACACAAGCTTCTTGTGCTAATTTGTGTTTTTAAATGAGGAAAGCTGTTAATACAGCTTGGTTTCCCTTTCAGTATCGAAAACAGAGAAGGAAGCAGGGAGGTGGTGGTGCAGGCCTTTAATCTCAACACTCGGGAGGCACAGGCAGGTGGATCTCTGAGTTCAAGGCCAGCCTGGTGTACAAGAGCTAGTTCCAGAACAGGCTCCAAAGCTACAGAAAAACCCTGTCTCAGAAATAAAGGGGCTGGAGAGATGGCTCAGCAGTTAAGAGCATTGCCTGCTCTTCCAAAGGTCCTGAGTTCAATTCCCAGCAACCACATGGTGGCTCACAACCATCTGTAATGAGGTCTAGTGCCCTTTCTGGCCTTCAGGCATACACACAGAAAGGATATTGTATACTAAATAAATAAATATTAGAAAGAAAGAAAGAAAGAAAGAAAGAAAGAAAGAAAGAAAGAAAGACAAACGAAAACAGAGAAGGAAAACCGTGCTGATCGGAAGCAGCTGTCACATACAGCTTTGATGGCTGTGATTGGTGGACACAGCCTGGGAGAAGGTGGGCTTCCGGTCAGGAGAAGATGGTTAGCCATGCTCACCTACCCTTTGGGACCGGTGGCAACGGGTCTTCATACAGAATCTTCTCAACTAATTCTGACATGGTTTCTGAGAAGAACGGGGGTTTGCCTGAAATCAAAAGAACTTGCAGAATCATTTTGCCGTTCACAGTAATCCTGACCTTAACTACAGGAACTCAACGGGGAATTTACACCATCATAAATCCGAGATTTACATGACTTGTGGGGAAAGGCAATGCCTGGCTAGTACACCAGGTTATGTACTTCATCCTTCTCAAATGCAAAATTAACTTCCCAAGTCAATGTTCAAGTTCCCACAGGGTTAGCATCATAAGAGAGGGTCGTGCCAACCCCCAACACAGCAGAATCACAGGGTTAGCACCGTGATCGAGGGTCGTGCCAACCCCCAACACAGCAGAATCACAGGGTTAGCACTGTGCTTGAGGGTCGTGCAAACCCCCAACACAGCGGAATCGCCAGCTCACAAGCCACAGTCAGACTTTCTACTGCATTTCTCCTGTGGTCAGGCACATTCAACGCTGCAGACAACTATGAAGGATCACTCCATGTCAGGCTTCTCAAGAGTCTCCCTGAGTCTAATGTCAAGCAATTATGTTGGAATTGTTTACACAAACATTGTCTAAAGCCAGTTTTGTGATACCTGCTAGGTCAGACCCTTACGAACAACACACTAAACTCATAGTTTCTTCTTGGTTTTAGCATAGTTTTGATTTTATAATGAACCAAACACAAACCTGAGAACATTTCATAAAGCAGACAGCCCAAAGACCAGAGGTCACTGGTGACGGAAAAGTCGGTTCCCTTTATGATTTCTGGTGCCGCATATATTGGAGAGCCTGAAAACCAAAGACGAGAAAGAAGGGCTCAGTTAGCCATCTGGATTACTTCCTGCCCAGAAAGCCACAGAGATGGAAAGACACAGGGAATGGAGCACGCACCATTAGGGTAGAACTGCTGAGAGCCGGTGAGATGACCTGAGTTCAGTCCCCCAGACCCACACAACAGAAGAGAACAGACTCCTTCAAGGTGCCCTCTGACCTCCATTTACTGTGGCACAGACATGTCCACATATCCACCTGTGTGTGTGGTGTCTGGTGTATGTGTGTGGTGCATTTATATATCTGTGTGTGTGTGATGTGTGTGTGTGGTGTGTGTATGTCTGTGTGGCTATGTGTGTGTATGGTGTGTGTGTGCCTGTGTCTTGTGTGTCTGTATGTGTGTGTGTCTGTGTGTGCTGTGTGTGTGTTTGTGTTTATATGTGGTGTGTATGTATATGTGGTATGTGTGTGTATCTGTGTGTGTGGTGTGTGATGTATATGTGTGTGATATGTGTGTCTATGTGTGTGGTGTATGTGAGTGTCTGTGTGTGTCTGTGTGTGTGGTGTGTGTGTCTGTGTATCTGTGTATGTTTGTGTGTGTGTGGTATGTGTGTGTGTGGTATGTGTGTGTGTGGTATGTGTGTGTGTGGTATGTTTGTGTGTGGTATGTGTGTGTGTGGTATGTGTGTGTGTGGTATGTGTGTGTGTGGTATGTGTGTGTGTGGTATGTGTGTGTGTGGTGTGTGTGTGGTGTGTGTGTGTGGTGTGTGTGTGTGTGTGTGGTATGTGTGTGTGTGGTATATATGCAGGTTCATATGCACTGAATGCAAGCAGAAGCGAGATGTTGACTTGGCATTTTGTGAGCTCCTCAGTCACTTTTCTCATTTTTGAGGGAGAGTCTGATCAGACTGTCTGCTCAGCCAGCCCCAGGATCCTCCTGTCTATGCTCCCCTGGACTGGGATTACAGATGTGTGCAGCCACACCTGGCTCTTTGCACATGGATTTTCGGGGACTAAACTCAGGTCCCCCAGCCACAAGCACAGTAACCCTGATGTCGCTGGCACCATCTCACCGTAAAACCCTCCTGCTAAGAACATGCCCTGGAAGACCGGCCTGGACTGCAAAGATCAGTCCTCAACAGGGCTGAGCCTACTAAAGAAGTCACTGGGGTGTGCCAGGCACGTCCTGAGAGCTGAGTGACCCGGCCCTGCTCTGGCGGGTGTGACAAGATGCCCACATTGTCCGAGACCTCACTACTGACACCGTCAGGGCCGCAGGGACACCAAGCCAAGGATGAAGCCACCGTCTCTGTCCAGAATTCCCTGCTGTGTTTCTCCACACGTGTGAGTGGGGAAGTGGGAAGCCCACGCTGTCTCCTGAGCACGTGGCTGCGGCTATGACACCTGTGTGCCCAGCCCCCTCACCTCTGACTCGGTTTCTCGTGTTTTTCCTCAGTGTGTTTTCCACACTGTCACCGCCTCCTTCTTCTGCCGCCACCAAGGCAAAGAACTCCTCCAGACTCTCTCCTTCCACCTTTGCCAGGCAGAAATTGCTGAACTTCAGTGTTCCAGGCCCTTCCAAGAGTATCTAGGAAGGGGGGAGAAACATCAGGGTCTTCAGAGACAGCTTTTGAGGGACCACTCCTGACAGCGCCCAGGGCATTGCAGCCTTCTTGCCTTATCGTAGCTCAGAAAAATGCTGACATGCTATGCTTTTAAAATGATCCTGAGAGGGCTGGAGAGATGGCTCAGCGGTTAAAGCACGGGCTGCTCTTCCAAAGGTCCTGAGTCAGATTCCCAGCAACCATATGGTGGCTCACAACCATCTGTAATGAGATTTGGCGCCCTCTTCTGGCATGCGGGAATACACGGAGGCAGAATGTTGTATACATAGTAAATAAATCTTTAAAAAAAAATGATCCTGAGAGTTGTGGCTTAAATAAAACTGAGCACTGCTCCCCAAGAAAACCCAGCCAACATGGCATTCTAGTAACAGTAGAATCAAAGCTGACACTGTCCACTCGCAGACACCAGAGAGCCACCAGGGAGCCTTTGGCTGTGGGAAAGTTAAGAACAGACAGGTGGCTTCATGCAGATAAAAGATAAAGATGGCCAGCACTCTGTGCCCTCCTGCTCTAGGCCCACAAAGTCAGACAGCTGTGAATCAGAGTAACTGGGAGGGATTTTCTGCTGTGCACAGGTGAGGTAAGGCAACCACACCATTTGATGTGCAAGCCTGGTGCATTGTGGGATGTGGGTATTGGACAGGGCTCAAGGCCAATCCCCAAAAACACACAAAGTGAGTGAGGGTCTAGAGACCCACCTGCCTGTGTCATTTGTTCAAGAAAGGACATGTAGAGTGGGGTCTTAAGCTGAGGGACCACAGCTAGTGCAGGCCTACTGACTTGGGCTCGGGTCACCTCCTACCCACACTGCCTGACCCTAGGGGTACGGCAGCCCCTGGAATTCTGTTTCTCATGCACAAGCAGAGAAGGCAGGGCTCTGGCTTTCTCAGCTCTGGGGGACTCATGGAAGTCTTGCAGATAAAGAGCTGGAACTGACTCGAGGTGGCCACCGCCCTGTGTGATCAGAAGTTGGCTGAGGATTGTTGAACCAGCCCAGGAAGCTGCATCATTTCCAGCTGCATCATTGAAAATGCTGCTGGACGACAGTAATGGGGCTGCTGATGGTCTGGTGAGAGCGGTTCAAAACCGGCCGTAAGTCCCGGACACTAAAGCTCCTAAAGATGTCAGGTGGCCCACCACAGTGGCCTCTAAGTTCACCATCAGTGTCCCCTGGTGACCTGTTCAGACAGATTGCCATCAGCATGTCCTAACTCCACAGCTCCAAAGTTGTTCAAAACAGCAGTCACTGGTAACACACAGGCTAAGGGTGGGCCAGTGTTTCAATAAAACTTTATTGGCATAAACGGGAATCCTGCCCAACTCTCTCCAAGTCCTGGTTTTCTAGAGTAGTTCACATGACAGACCCTCCTGCGAAGTTCTGCAGTAAACACCACAGAGCTCTGAATAAACCACAGCCTCGATCCAAAGCCCACGACCCGCACCTGCTTGCACACAGTGGGGAATAAAGATGTTTTTTAAAGTAAGTAAAAACTGTGTGAGTTTTTGGAGGGTGGTGGGGTCGTTTTAGGCTGTTTTGTTTGTTTGTTTATTTTGAGACAGTGTCTCAATCTATTACCCAGGCTGTTCTGGAACTCACTACATACATCAGGTTGGCCTCGAACTTATGACAATTCTCCTGCCTCGACCCTCAAGTGCTAGGCCGGCAGGCATGAGCCATCACGCTCCGCTCTGAGTGGTATCCTTTGATGTTGTTGTTTCACTTTGTTTTGTTTTGTTTTTTGAGAGAGGGTTTCTCTGTGTAGTCCTGGCTGTTGTGGAACTCGCTCTGTAGACCAGGCTGGCCTCAAACTCACAGAGATCTGCCTGCCTCTGCCTCCCAAGTGCTGGAATTAAAGGTGTGCTCCACCACAAGAAGACAGGTGGTTATTTCTTACTACGTGGATGTTCTATAAAATTCAAACTTCAAAGTCTATGAATGACAACCGCACATTAGCATATTGCCCCGGCTGCTTCCTGCACCGCAATGACAGCTGAGTGGCTGCAGACCAGGGTAGGTTTGTGGATATTTCAAACAAGAACTAGTATGTGCTTTCAAGATCTCCTTGTAAAAAAGAAGAAGACTTTTCCTTTCAGTCTCTGCTGTTTTGGTCCCCACCCTTCCCTTTTAGTTTCTTCTTCATACACAAATGGCTGACAAAGCAAAGCCACAAACCGGACAGTCAGCTTTCACTTCGCTACACAAGGGACAAGAAACACTCAGGCCAGTGATGTGTGCAGCCCCTAAGCATGCGGCTTACGCAACAGTGCTGGGTGCCCCTGACTTAACATGCTGCAAACATCACAGAGAGGAAAGCCATAGAGTGAGGAGGAGACCTGGGCAAGGTCACACATGGCTTCCAGAGTCAGCTGAGCACGCTCACTGCTCTCGAGGACAAACACAGAGGCATCTGCTCGTGGAAAACAAAGCCCTATCCATGTGGTCAGGAATAGTGCACAGTCAAGAGGCCACTGTCAAGGGTGTGGCCAGAACTGGCATAAATGGGACTTAAGGGCTGGGAGATACTGGGCCCGTTACTTACAACACACAAAGCGAGAAGTGAAAAATCAAGACCTCTGCAGCAAAGGAGGACTCTGTCCCCAAAGCTACGTAAATAGGCAATATTACATAGATACCATAGGTTTCCTTCATTTTACTGAGAAGGCCCTTGGAACTGAGGCATGAGGCATTAGGAAGTCAAACTCAGAAGTTACCTTCCCAGGAGTAAGGTCACAAAAGAGGATGCCAAGCCTGTGGAGATGGTGAAGCCCCATGACCAGATCCACCCCAAACTCTCTCACGACATCTTCTGGGAGGTTCTCGTCCTGAGCAATCACAGTTTCTAAAGAACCACCTATGGGAAATGAGCTCGGATCAGTCACACCGGCCATCCGTCACGGCCACCCTCAGCCACATGTCATCTGCCATGGCTGCCCTCAGCCAGCATTCTCACGCACCCACCTGTGCACAGCTCCACCACCATCCAGAGATGATTGCTGGTCTCGTACCATTCATGGAAAGTCACAATGTTCTTGTGTTTGATTTCGTGGGTGAGACGGACCTATAGAAACACACAGCGTTCACTTGGCATCTAAGTGGAAAAGCAGACCAAGAGTGGGGTTTATCTGCAGCCATCAGAGGCGCTGCCTCTCGAGGGCGGCCACAGGGACAGGCTAATGACCTGCCACCTTAGGAATCATCACAAGTGTGCCAGTGGAAACAGCAAAGAACCTATTTACAGGAAGTGGGTAAAAGTAACAGCAAAATAGCCAGGGCTGCAGGAGGGCCAGTGTTCCGTGACGCTGTAACGACGTTAGGTCCCAATACGTCCAGTGGAGTTTGAAAACATCATCATCTGAAGACAAACTTAGCTTGTTTACCTCACCCACAAACCGGGCTCAGCCCCACCAGCCCTAAGCACACTCAGGCACGGCATCTACTTTACAATAAACTGCATCATAGCTCACATACACACATGGGTGTTCTGTAGACATGATGGAATGAGAAAAGAAGCAAAGTCTAAAATGTGCCCTGGACAGTCTCCTCCTGCCCATGACTGCACGGCCAATGAGAGCTGTGGATCTCACCTCTGCCTGGCCATACAGGGCAGACTACCAGACCCACCTGACTCCGCTGTCTGTGCTCCCCACCTGTTTACACAGCCTATCCCTCCAGTGCTGCTTTGAGTCGCTGCCACAGGCTCCTAGTGGCCGACCTGACATCCACTTCAACAAGTTCATAGTAAGAGAAGCCGTGGATGGCCCAAGGCAACCCCGTGCCTAGCCGGGAAACATTTCTTCCTCACCTCCGACAGACAGCAGCAGTATGTTACTAAAAATCACTGGCCCAGGCGGGCTGTGGTAGTGCACACCTTTATTCCCAGCACTCAGGAGGGAGAAGCAGGTGGAGCTCTGTGAGTTCAAGGCCAGCCTGGACTACAGAGCAAGTCCCAGGACAGTCAGGGCTGTTCATCACTGGCTGAGATATCCTAGGAAACTTGCAGAGGATTTTATTCAAGATGCCAATCCCAAGCAGACCCCTCCCCAACCCCTAGCAAACTGCCAGGGAAGGTGACACTGAAGGACCACGTTATTTAAAGTTTCCACCCTAGCCTCAGATGCTCACCCAGACACCACCCCTCCCTCTGGTCCTTCCTTACACAGCAGGCTGCACGAGCAGGAGCTACCTTCTCCTCCCATCTTGAACACCCCAGCTCCAAAGCTGGTCTCCACTGAAGCCTTGCCTTGAGGCCATTGGTCAATCACCTCTCCACCCCAAGTCTTTACCCCATCAGCTGCACAGCTGAGTTCTCTCTTCGCCCTGCATCTCTTCCCCTGACATCCCAGGCCCGGCTGTCACAGTCATCAGCTCTAGAAATCTGCCTCCACCTCCACTAGGCAGGCACTGTGGTGAATCTTCTCCCAGCAAGTCAGTTAACAGAAGCAGTTCCAAAAAACCCAGGGGCTGTAGTCGGTGGCCTCAGAAAGGGGAGAAGCCACTCAGAGTGTGGTTAGCCCGCTGCCTCTCCACGCTCCTTACGCTGAGTGCTGTCTTCTGCTCTCCCCTGCTGGGTCTGCATCCATCCCTTTATATGTTCTTCATGTTATATGAGGAACCCAAACCCCCTCCACCTTCCCTCACTCTGACCTAGCATCGATAAGTACAGTGATGTTTAGCTTTACATCTCTGTTCCAAATGTGCTTCTAGACTGGACTAAAATCCCCAAAGTCTTCCTTACAACCCAATGTATACACAATGGACTCCCGGAAATAAATGTTGGCCCTGCCCTTTTCTTGGGCTTTGTTCCCTTCTCAGTAACTAGCTTCTGGCCAAATGCCCAACAAAACCATTGCTTCTCTTCCAATTCTTATGTCCTATTAATATCCAAAACATTAGCACTGCTTCACAAAGGGACACAGGCTCTCTGTTTACACAACACTAAAACCCACAAGATAATCTGGATTGTGAGGAGGGGGTGTCTGCAGGCAGGGGGGAAAGGGCCTGGGAGGCTGTGCGCAGGCTTCTAGAATACTGACTGCCTTTGTTATCTGAGTGGACACTACCGAGCAAAACTAACCTACATGGACAAAACCAAGAGCCGTGGGCTGTGAACCAGGAGCTAAGAGTATAATCTGTTCTCTGTTACACAGCCAGCAATCTGGGAAGCCGGAGCGGGTATATTACCAAGCCCTTTCATGTCCTTCTGGTCAGGTGGTCTCACCTCCCGGCATCTCCCCCCCCACACACCCTGTGTGTGCAGCAGAAGACAAAGCACAGCCAGCAGGTCTGTGTTCCTTCTCAGTCTCCGTTTTGGATGGTGTCCAGGTTTACAGTTAACACAGAACAATCGGTGGACAGAGTGAGGACATTCCTTCCCCCAGAATGAAGTCTGTGTTTCTATAATGGGGAATACACACTGGGCCAGCAAAAGGGCTCAGTGGGCAAAGGTGCTTGCCACCAAACCTGAAGACAAGAGTTCAATCCCTGGACCCACGACCCAAAAGTTGGTCTCTGACCTTGGCAGGAATGCTGTCTATGAAAGGGGGTTGCATGGTGGAGCGTGTGAATGGAGGACAGAGGAGTTAGTCATTTCCTTCCACCTTGGAGGTCCCAGGGACAGAGCTCAGGTTCATCACCTACCCATCTCGCCAGCCCTCAGATACCAACTCTCAAATAAATGTATATTACAGATCTCTTTGCACCAGAACCAAAGAGCTGGCAACAGCCTACACTCACTCATCACTCAAGACTGATGGCACCAGACAGAGAGATGGGGCCCTTCCAGTATGAAAACATTGGATGTGGATACAGCATGCCCAGTAGCTTCTGCCATCTATCTATCCATCTACCTACCTACCTACCTACCTACCTACCTACCTACCCACCCACCCATCCATCCATCCATTCATCTATCTAGCCACCTACCTACCCACCCACCCATCCATCCATCCATTCATCTATCTATCTAGCCACCTACCTACCTACCTGCCTACCCATCCATCCATCCATCCATCCATCCATCTATCTAGCCATCTACCTACCTACCTACCTACCTACCTACCTATATACCTACCTATCCATTCGTCAATCCATTTATCATCTATCCATCTACCTACCTACCTACCTGAGTGCTAGGGATGGGATCGAGGGCCTCACACATGGTAGGCAAGCATCCTTCACCATCCCTCATTATTTGAGACTACACAGTCCAGTCTGGCCTTGACCTCTTAACCCTCTTTGCCACCTCCAGACTATTGGGAATACACGCTCGCTCATGTCACCTGGCATTCTGGTGCCCCCAGGCAGGTGGACACACCCAGGACCTACCCAGTTGGTTATTTCGGGCCGTTTGCACTTTTCAGTACAAAGAATGGCCACGAAATTGATTGTCCCCTTCCGACGTCCCTTATACACAACGGTCTTGCTTCCTCTGCCAATCTCCTCATACAGGACGAAGTTTTCCATGTCTGGGTATGTTTCTCAGCTATGGCAATGTAGCATCCCTAGCTCCTGGAAGGTTAACAGAAGTGATGGTGACAAACACAAGCACCAGAGTCGGCCAAGGAACACGGAAATGTTGCCGCCGATTCAGACGCCACCACCAGTGTGCAAGGAGAGTCGCTGTGATTTGGGTTGTCTGTCTGTTTTGTTCCTAAAAAAAGAAAAGAAAAAAAAAACAAAATGTATTTATTTTTGTTTTATGTGTAGGGCGTTTGCCTGCATTTGTGTGTACATCACATGTGTGCTTGGTGTCCTATGAGGTCCAAGGGGGGCATCAGATCCCCTGTAACTGAAGTTACAGATGGTTGGGAACCACTGTGTGAGTTCTTGGAATCACACCCAGGTCCTCTGGAAGAGCAGTCAGTGTTCTCGACTGCTGAGCCAGATCTCCAGTTTCTCCCCGACCCCTTTTTATTTTTCAGACAGGGTCTTCTATGCAGCCCTGTGTCTCAGGGTTGCTATTGCTATGGGGAAACACCATTGCTGCAGAGTATCTTTTTAACTGTGCAAAGACGTGTTGCTGTTTTACTTTGCCTGCCTAAGGCACCTAGTTGATCTAATAAAAAGCTGAATGGCCAGTAGCAAGGGAGGAAGTACAGATGGGACTTCCAGGAAGGGAGAGTAAGCAGGAGGAGGAATTTAGGCTGGGGGAACTTTAGAGTCTGGGGAATGCCTACAATTGCCTGTCTACAGCCTGATCTTATGGACGCAGTTTCTCAATAAAGGTTCCTTCATCTCCCGCGACTCTAGTCAGTGTTAAGTTGACATAAAACTAGCCAGCACATGTATGGATCCTTATTTTTTCATCCTGTACAAGGTCAACCCTAAGACAGATGAAATACATTACTATATGAGCTGAAGCAGCGGCCACTGGCAAAGTGCGGGGAGAGCCTTCTATGGGACAAGCAGAGGGAAGGACGTCTGGAAAGAACTCAAGCTTGGGTAGAACCACATGAACTAACAAATGACGGCAGCTGAAAACCTTCCTTGTGAAAAGCATCCCGTCAGAGTGAAAGCAGCTTACCAGGACGGCCTTTGCTACCAATACATATCACATGAGATCAACAGAGAGTTCACAGAAGAAGAAAGACAGATGGCTGATAAACAGACGGAAAGTGTTCAGCACCATCAGCCATCAGGGAAATGCAAATTCAAACAACTTTGAGATTCATCCCAGTCTGAAGAGCTGCCACCAGGGAACATGATGAGGGAGGAGATTGCAAAGAGGGAGTCTTGAGCAGAGAATGTCAGGCAAGAAAAAAACGTTCTGGTTTGGAGGGTGCACACCTTTAACCCCAGCACTCAAGAGGCATAGGCAGGCAGATCTCTGCATTCCAGGCCAACCTGGTCTACAAAGCAAGTTCCAGGACAGCCGGGGCTACACAGAGAAATCCTGTCTTGAAAAACAAAACAGAAGGAGACAGGGAGGAAGGGGAGGAAGGGAGGGAGAGGGAAGGGAGAAAGGAGAGCGGAGGGGGAGGAGGAGAGGAAGAAGAGAAACAGAGAAGTAGTTAGTTAGTTAGTTAGTTAGTTCTGGTCTATGAAGTGCTGGGCAAAGAGTCACTGATAGGCAGACAAGGGTCAAGCTCTTGTTTTTCACAGTAAACCAGTGTGGTCAAAGGACATCATTATGGAGGATTCTCAAAAACAGACAGACCCACCTATGGAACAGCCATTTTACTCCTATGTGAACATATACACATGCACATGCAAGAACACATACATGCACGCACACTTGCACACACTAAGGAGGCTCAGGAAGCACACACAGGGTCTCTGCATCTCTGTTTACCGCAGCCCTGCTATCAATAACCAAAATGTAGAATCAACCTAGATGCCCATGGATGGATGAATGGATGAAGAAAACGTGTTCTACTTAGCAGTAAGGAAGAATGAAATGACATCATCCTCAGAAAGATGAATTGTATTCGCAGAGTCAGGGAGACCAACACCTGCATGCTTTCTCTCTTGGGTGGAATCTAGCCGTGAACATATACAGCCTTGTATATAACCTATATTTAAACAAATACTATGTATAGGACATGGGAGTAGATGGGCACAATAGGGAAGAAAGAGTGGCCGAAGGCAAGGAGAGGTGGGGGCAAAGGGTAGTGAGAGGCAAGAAAGACACAATAACTCATGCTTTCTCTCGTATGCAGAAACCAGATTTCAGCGTAAACGCTGTGGAGGCACAAGGGGCCCCGTGAGGAGGAGGAGGAGGAGGAGGAGGAGGAGGAGGAGGAGGAGGAAGGGAAAGAGTGTAAGGAGGAGGAGGAGAACCGTGAGGAGGAGGAGGAGGAGGAGGAGGAGGAGGAGGAGGAGGAGGAGGAGGAGGAGGAGGAGGAGGAGGAGAGGATAGTGAGGGGCAAATGTAGGCAAAACACAATGATATATGGACAGGAAATGTCATGATGAAGCCCATCACACTGCACTATCGCTTAAAGTAGAATTTTAAAAAAATACCACGGGGGGCTGAGAAGATGGCTCAACTGGTAAGTGCTTACTGTGCAAGTTTGGGGGCTTAAGTTCAAATCCTCACACACACGCAGAGAAACACAGAGTGAATGCTGGAGCGAGGAATCTTATCGATGTTGGGGCAGAGACAGAGGACCTGAGAGCTTACTGGCAGGCTAGTCCAGTCTCAACATCCAGTTTCTGGTTATGGAGAGACCTGTCTCAAGGCAAAAGGGCAGACAGTGACAGAAGAAGACACCTGACACCCTGCTCTGCCCGCACACACAGGCACATGCACCAGTATGCTCACATGCATGCACCACACGTGTGAACATGCATGCACATGCACACAAGTAGCCATGTCAAAACCGTATCAATGAACTGGAGACAGGGCTCATCTGCTAAGGGTACATACTGCTCCTGCAGATGACCTGAGTTCTGTGCCCAGTTCCCACATTGGGTGGCTCACAACTGCCTGGAACTCCAGTTCCAGGGATCCAATACCATTTTCTGGCTCCCACAGACACTCAACAGACACGTGTGCACATGCATACATACATACATACATACATACATACATACATACATGATAGACGGACCTGACAAGCCTCTAAGTTTGGAGCTCTTTAACTTTATTCTACTGACCCAACTGACCCTTCCTGAGACTAAAAGCTGCAGGCAGGGCAGGCAAAGCTCAGCAAGTGCTCCTCACATCATTTGAGACTGATCCTGTGGGCTGGAATCCCCTTTCTCCCACCACATGCCCGACAGGCCACAGCAAGTCTGAAGCATGGAGTGAGCATTTTCCAACGCAACCACGCAAATCAGGCTGGGAGCTCAGAATCACCACCACCAGAGCACACCATGGACATCAACCCAGCTGGAGGCTCACGACCATCACGACCAGTTTGGATCCCAGGCCATGAAATGCACTGGGCTGAAGGAGGCGGCAACCGAACGTCCCACCTCAGGAGCAGGCAAGCACGAGCGCCCCTGCTCCCCCTATCCCTGACCCGGAGGAAGTGGTCAAGCGTCTGCCGAGGATGAGGAGGATCAAAGGTGTAACGAGGGATGGAGCCTCTGCTACCCACCCACCTGTGAGATGGTGGGGACCCGCGTCCCACGCCCTCTGCCTCTCCACAATGCGGCCGCAGCCTGGACAGGGAGAACAGAGGCACCCAGCGACCTGACCAGCTTCCCTGGACGCGTGGATGCGGCCTCTGCGTCACCATAGCAACCTGCGAGACGCGGGAAAAGGAGCGGGGCCTTGATTGGCTGACCACTACCTACGCAGGACACGGAAGTGAGCGGCTTTGCGTGCCCATCCCGCTACACTAAGGACCGCACGTCCCCTGTGGAATCATCTCGCTAGCCTGAGGGGAGATTGGCAGCTGTAGAGACGAGACTCGTGGGCAGCTCTCAGATCTGAGCGCCGAGCATCCCTCCGTGTTTGTACACCACCATCCCATCTCTATGACAACACGCAGACGACCAGAAGAGACCCGGATGCCAAGTGGCATAGAGTTTCCGGTCCTATGGGTTGGGGCCGGAAGTAAGCATTCTCGGACACACCTTCCCCCAACCCTAAAGCCGTAGTATCCTATCTAGAAAGATCGCTGGGAGGAAATGCAAGACTCACACTGCACCACGGCGGGAACCGTTACCGTTTGCACACCTCCCGTCTCCATGGCATCACGCAGGACACCGAGAGGGACTCAGGGTGCTGATTGGCTGAGCCTTCCCACGGGCCGGAATTAGCCGGAAATTGGGGTGCCTGCTGCTGGTGCCCTGCTTGCTGGCTTTGTGCTTTCTCCAGGGGTGGGGTTCCCGCCTCCTCTTTGGGAAACATCGCACCCCAGAGCCATCGGTCGCTGAAGATTGCGTACCGCGGACACGACTGATCGGCCTCCCAAGTCAGGGCGCGCAGCGGTGACACCGATCCCGCCCGAAAAGGCAGCCTAGTCGTGTAGTTCCTGCCAACGAGCGAGCGGCACGCTCCGCAAATCTGAGTGGGTCTTAAAGTCTTTCAATTCTGCCTGATCCCAGTGCATCACAACTTTATTTTGCTGCGTCTCCTCTTTAAACAGGGTTTCACCGTGTGGCCGAGGCTGGCCTCCAACTGGAGTCCTCTCTCAACAGCCCCCCCACACACACACACACAACGCTGATAATAACCCGTAAGCGCCACCACACCTCAAACTTCCTTTCCGATGTGAGAGCAAGTTGGCGGCATCTGGCAACAAAGCCCAGCCCAGCTGATTCAGAATTCTACCTAGAGAATCCGGGGTGAGGACGGTGCCAAAGTTCCTTTCCTGAATTGGGAGAGTGTGCAAGGTGGGATCAATGTCTACACCTTCCTCCCAAATTTCTAAGGATAAACCAAAGTATAATTGCAGCTCAACTCACTCTAGGGAACGAGTGAGTTTGTTAGGCTTACTTATAGAGCCCAAGTGAGGGGTTACCAACTTGGGCAAAGCAGCCCCACTGGAAAGTCTGCCCAGCATGGAAGCCCGCTTCCCGGTAGCCGCATAGGTAGCGCTCCTCTCCCCGAGTCTTTGCCCCCCCACACACACCCGCAGTATAGCTAGGCCCTCCCCAATACACCCTGTCCACTTGGAGGAGTGGCCTGAAGTTCAGGTAAAGGTCCAGAGACCAGCGTGTCCCCTCCTGTGAAGGAATTTCAGTAGTCAATGAGATCTGCTTCCGTGGTCGTTGGAAGCACACAGCTGGGCTTATGGAGATGTCAATCGTCCGAGTTGCAAGACAGTTGCGTGAGTAAGAGCATGCGTGGAGGCCAGATGCCAGCCTTAGGTGTGTTCCTCAGGAGCTGTCCACCTTGGTTTTATGTTTGAGACAGGGTCTTTCACCAGCCCCTAGGGCTGGCAGGCCCTCAAGCCCTAGGGATCCACCTGAAAGGATGTGGGTACCTTTGGGGCCCTGCCAAGGTGCCACTGAGCAAACACAGCACTCACAGCTGAGTGCAAGAAGTTCGCTGGAGGGCGGGGAGAGTGAAAAAGCAATAGGTCATGGGAGAGTGGGGACACGAGGAAGGCAGGCAGACAGGAGATAAGAAAGACCAGAAGCATGGTGACCCGTGATGACATAACTGTCTTGACTGCAGAGGCAGGCTGCTGCAGCGACAGGAGCTAATACTACCTTCCCACTTCCACAGTCCTGGAATCACAAGCATGCGCTATCGCTATGGCATAGCTGTTTATGTGGTTGCTAGGGATTGAAGTCAGGTCCTCACACATGTGTGACAAGTGCTTTACCAACTGAGCCATCTAACCAATCCCAAAAGGGACATTGTTACACGTCAGACTTGACAAGCATCACTGTTTCTGTTTTCTCATCTGAGGATAAATTCCTTTGTGATGGGTGACATCAGAGGTTTGCCACGCCTCTGTGTTTAAGGAGTAGAATACAAAGTGTCCCCATAGGCTTATGTTGAGGGCTTTCTGTCCAGCTGGTGTTTAAAAACGTCTTGTTTTTAAAATTCTTTTCAAGTTCAGGCATTCCCCTTAAAGACTGGATATATGCCTTTCTACTTTTTATTGTTTTCGTTTCTGTATTATATTACTGAGTCCACCTGGAATTTAGTTTGGCAAACACAGGAATTTAGAGTATAACTATTACTCCTAAGAATAATTAGGTAGGATCTCTGTGAGTTCGAGACCAGCCTGGTCTACAAGAGCTAGTTCCAGGACAAGCTCCAAAACCACAGAGAAACCCTGTCTCAAAATAATAATAATAATTAGGCAATTATGCTAGCGGTAAGATTGTCTCTCTCTTTAGGAATTTTTGATATCTCCCTCATTATAGCTCCAAATTTTAATGTATGCATTGAAGTCTATTTCCAGGCTATTACATTTTCTCCACTGAGTTATTTTTGTACTTGTAGGAGAAAGTTCTTAATTTCAGTTTTAAATATTTATAATTTAAAAAGGAAGGAAAATTATCTACAGTGGTACCCTTATATTTGGAGAGCTAAGAGAAAAGTATCGATTGAGCCCAAGAGTTAAGAGGTCAGCCTAAGCAACATAGTAGGACCTTGTCTCAAATTATTTAAATTATCTGTAGAGAAGGAGTGGCCTGGAATGACCATTAAGACATGGAGGGGAGGCAATGGCTGGGAAACCAAGCTGAACCATTGCAGCGCTGACCGGTGCTAGCAGCCAGGCTGGGCGGAGAAGAGCCTGCTGTTCAACACCCTTCGCCTCTGAGAACGTTTGCGGGGGAACGAAGTCTGACATGGAGACTAGGGGGTCGTCCGCATTCAAACCACGTAAGCGCTGAGTGTCTGTCACAGCCTTGGCCTTTTATGTTTACACTTTGCTCTTTTGAGGGACCCGCTACCCAGCTCCAAATAAATACCCAGACGCTTATTCTTTCTAATGAATACCTGGCCTTAGCTTGGCTTTGTTTCCTGCTAGCTTTTTTTTTCTTTGTTTTCCCAAAAAAAAATTATTTCCTTATGTATAGGATTATAGATACTTTAAAAAGTTCAAAACACTTGAGTTTTATTGAAAATAATAAAATATAGAAGAAAAACATTCCCATTTTTAAAGCAAAATTGACACCATCTTCCAGAATGTTCTTAGTGTGGTACCACTCTTGTCATTATTAAAGTTCGGGTCCAGATCCAGAGGTAGCTAGCTTTTCTTAATTAACTCATCTACCTTTTGCCTCTGGGCTTTTATCTTTTTCTATTCTATATAGCTCTCTTTATTTCTTACTCTGTGGTTCACTGCGTAACAGTGTGGCTGACCCCTGATGTTCTCTCTCCTCCTCTCTTCATTTCTCCCCTCTTCTAACTCTTCTCCTATTTATTCTCTCTGCCCGCCGGCCCCACCCACCCTTTCTCCTGCCTAGCTATTTCATCTCTTTATTAGACCCTCGGGTGTTTTAGGGAGGCAAGGAATCACAGCTTCACAGAGTTAAACAAGTGCAACATAAAAGAATGCAGCACATCTTTGCATCATTAAACAGATGTTCCACAGCATAAACAAATGTAATAAATCTTCAACTAATATTCCACAGCACAGCCTGCCCGCAATTCCCATCTTAGGTTGTACATGGGAATCCCAGAGCAAGCTAGCTACCAAGACTAACCATATCCACAAGTCACAGAAGGAAGAGCAATAGAAGATGGCTCCTGACATCCACCGTGGGGTTTCACATGCATGTGCACACATATGCATGGTCACCACACACACAAAGCAAATGTGCACAAATACCCTACTTGAAAATGGAAAGAAATCCCACCTGTCTCACAAAAAGAGAGAGAGAGAAATATTAAAATCTTTGCTTCTAGCCTTTCTGGAATAGGACCACATTGAGGGTATCAACAGCCCATCTTTGTGCAAGAGTGTCAGTTCTCACCCATCCACCAATGACAGCTCCTACTGATGAGCCCTTAGCGCTTCCCTCGGTCCTCCAGCCCCTGTCCGTGTAGTCTCCTGTCGACCTCTATGAGATAAACTCCTTCAGGTTCCACATGCAGGTAAGATCATGCATCCCTGGAGTACAAGGATATTGACCAACTTGTCATCACCAGACGTGGGGCCACCGAAGGGCTGCCATGGAGGTTTGATGCAGCTGCTCTTCCCTTGACTCCCGTTGAGGAGCAGTTCTTGTCAGAAGGCTGTGGTAGACACCATGAGCTACAAGGTGCCCTTGAGGTTTGAGCTGTCAATCACCAAGTGTACCATATCCATCAGCCATAAGGATGTCTGTGCATGTCTGTGCACGGTGCGCCATGCTGTCCCTTCCATGGCCTTGAAGGCTCTAGACAATTGCCTGAGCAGGCTGTCCACCTGTGCTGTGCCTTTCCTCTGCACGTGTCCATCCTTTCCTGCCTGCAGCTTCTCCCCATGGGGGCTCGTTCTCTGTCACCAGGTGGCTGGAGAACAGCCCTGGGTAGGTTACTGTGGGCCTCGCATGGTTGGAGCCAGCAGGAGGGCTGGATTCTGAGAACAGCAGAAAGGTTGAAGACTAAAAGAAAGAAAAACCACTTCAGAGGGGGAATTAAGGAAGGAAGAGGGAGGGAGGGAAGAAGAGAGGAGAGAGAGAGGGAAGGAGGGAGGAAAGAAGAAAGGGGGAGGGAGGAAAGAGAGGAGAGAGGGAGGGAGGGAAGGAAGGAAGGAAGGAAGGAAGGAAGGAAGGAAGGAAGGAAGGAAGGAAGGAAAAAAGTAAGGAAGGAAAGAAGGAAGGAAGAAAACCTCTTAGGGCCAT